GTGTGGGTGTGGGTATCAGGTGAATATAGTATCTACAGGGACACGGACACCCACCCGGTCACACCCACACATGTTCCCAATTGATTTCCATAATAAAAATCACAAGAAATCATAGGAAATCACGAAAATGAAATTAGAAATCAGGAAATCAGTTTGTTCCCCCTTGAAATTTTCACTGAATTGGTCCCTTTCTGAAAAAACAACGATTTTTCGTGGGTAAAAATCAGTACGCTACTTTAAATCTGCCTCCTCAAGCATTAAAAATTACCACAGTGAAAAAAGTATTCATCATTCTTCATTCAGGTAAATAAAAGATTGTTTTTGTAACTATTAAACAAAATAGAAAAGTAAAGAATATGAATTACATTAAATCATTTTAAAGCATTTACAGTGAAAATAAAGTACTTAACAAAAAATTCACACGACGGGAAAAATTTCGTATATTAACTGAAGCACATATCTGAGCTTACTGCACAGTTTTTAACGCAATTCATTTGAAAAGAAGCGTAGTAACTCGAAAAATTCGAACGTACCGATGGTTTGGTCATATTCTGCTTATATACTTGCCAATGTTGGCATATCTGTTGGAATACTTGCCATTATTACTGTTATTCTGATATTTTTCATCAAGAAATATGACATCGTGTTTGATAAAATTGTCAAACTGATGTTTTATATCGAGATGCACAATATTAGCAAAAACAATGAGAAGAAAGATAAAAACACAAGCCGGCGGCCTGCTATTGCACAAGCTGTAACAATCACACCTGTTCAAGCATTTACCGAACCGTCAGGATCTGTCGCACAGATAACAATCACTACTGTTCCTAATGAATCTACAGAACGTCCACCTAGGAGAAAGCTGCTCGATCTCTATGGTAAAATTATTGATGGTGATCGACGACGCAATATAGTGATTTTAACAATTATCATTGTGGCTATCTTTGGTACTATTTGTATTGCTTTTATACAAGGTTGTTGTCTAGCTACTATTACTATTTATCCAAATGGACCTTGTCCTAGCTATGGTCTGATGGATTGTTATGGAGATGCTGACAATAATTATAACTATTTTACTTGTAAACCAGGTGACGAAACCAATTCTACACAATTTAATACTAGTGCAGCATGTTTTCGTTGGATTGCGCGTGATATTTCAATTAATGATGCGGTGACACAACTCGGTGCATGCGCTGGCCTTCTTCATGCGCTTTGTGCTCTTGTACAATTGGCCTTACGTTTTCTAATATATTCTGGCTCGCGACGGTTACAGACGCCTGAAGAAGCAGAAGCTGAAGCAGCCGCCGCAACAGTATCGGATCGTGAACGTCAAACAACAGATCCTGAAACGCCAAAAGATAAGCAGAAATCAAAATACGTTTGGGAACATCCGCGTCTAATTATCTGTGCTTGTACATGTATGTTCGGTATTCCTTGTGCTGCATTGATCATCGGAGTCGTTTTAGGCGCGTTTAAAATCAGTACTACAGCTCTGACATATGCAATTCTTATTGCTATTAGTCTCGTATTTACTATCACAATAGCTTGGGTGGTACAAACAGAAGAAGAAGGAGATAATGATCCACAACTTGCCCTGGACGTGCAACGTTTTAGAGAAATTCAGGCACGAAAAGGAAATCAAGATGGTGAACAAGGACTAAGTCAAGTTACCGAAGGCTTTTCTGTAGAAGATTTGAAGCCCGCAGTGAATGCGCTCTTAAACAGGAAATAATATACAAGATGCAAGTTGTGCACCAACAAAGACCATCTTCAACATTAATTAAATGAGAAATGACTGACTATTTTCCATTGTAACAATCCTTGTTTTAAAATCAAGATTCTTTTTGTTCCTAGTTATAAATTATAAAAAAAATTACGTGTCTTTTTTCTTTCAAACTGACAAAAACTTCTTCAAGACTTTTTCTTATTTTCTTTAGAAAGACGCATATATAAGGTGTGGGTGTGAATTTGAGTACTATATACATCATACACCCACTGGCATCCACATCCACCCTTATGTTTCTATAAATATGCAACAGTACTTTTTGATATTATTCTTGACTAACAGGTATAGAATGTGAGGATGAAAGAGAAAAACGCACCCATCAAGAATTGATAGAAGCTTTGGATTCTATACAAATATTGATTATAAAATATATAAACCAAAAATTTATAGAAGATTAAGATATTTTATTTTTGAATAAATTATCATTGATACCAAAAAAATTCTATTAATTCTTTTCTCAAATAGAAATACAAAAAAAATTCAGATTAGATATTATTTAATTATTTATTGTTAATTGTAAGCACGATTAAATAAAATACTGAAGTATATTGAATTATTTTCAATTTAAACTTTTTATTTAATATTGATTAATTTCTGTATTCTAAATTATACAACTAATATCAAATCACTTTCATTGATTATATTTGAATATCAAATGATAATAACCAATACAGATATTTTTACATTGAATTATATTATGAATCTTTTGTATATTTTCTAAATATCGATAAAATAAACAATAGTAAATGTATTAAACTAAATATTTGTTTCAAAGTTCGAACAGCAATGTGTTAGAATAATTCACTTGTACAAATAATTTCCTTGCATATGACAGGATAACTTGACTACAATATGTTTTTTCATTTATTATATCACGTATAATTTGATAATCCTTTTAATATTTTTATAGAATTTTGAAATGTTGAAAAATAATTATATTTCATAAATTTCTGACAAATATTTTATTATTAACAAAATCTTATTAATTAAATTCTACTTATCTTTAATAAAAGAAATAAAGTGTTCTTAAAATGATCAAACTAAAGAATTTTCATTGGTTAAATCAATAATATACATATTGTATATTAATTTAGCAAAGAAATCTTTTCGAAATAATATAAAATATTTCCTATTACTTAATATAAAGAAAATATATCATTCTTCTTCGATCATATTGACATTTACTCTGTTAAGATAAATAAATTTGTTGATTTAATTGAAAGTTTTTTTTTACTCTTAATAAAATTCTTTTAAATATTGCCAAAGAATAAACAAAAATAAAAAGATTCATCACTTTAAGATGAAATATTATATTTTTTCTGATTAAAAATTGAATGTTATGAAACAAATTTGACATTGAAAATATTTTCTATTTTCTATTGTTTATAAATATTTATTAAATTATACATAAACAAATAAAAATAATGAATAATCATCAAAAATTTTCATATATATATATATATAAATAATAAGAATTATCAATTTCAAATAAAAATATTAGATTGATTATTATCATTTCACTTTATTTTATCTAAAAATGATTAAAATAAATACAAGTTTTAACAAATAATTATGAAAATATCTGTTGAACTTTTTATTTTAATGTAATATTAATATTCATTATGATTACGTTATATAAAATCAAATTTGTATTTTTTTATCTATTGAAATGAAATAATTATATTACTATTTAAAGATTATTTACATTAGAAATATAATTATATAAAAAGAAAAAAATGAAATAGTTGAATATTAAAATAATTTCTTATACAATTTTTGATTATCTATTTGAAAAAAAAATTATTTTTCTTTTTTTTTTTATATCATGACTGGTAAAAAGTATGACTGGTAACCTTATACATACCTCATTAATGAAACACAACTCATCCATAAATAAGATTTGTTTTTCTCTAATGGGTTATTAATGACATATCATGCACATTACCTACCTGAATGAAAATGAAAATATGCAGTATCATTTGTATTTATTTATTTGCTTGTTATTTCATTATGATAAAAGAAAACTGAAGATAAAAAAAATTTATGCATCACTCAACTATGACGAGAAGAAAATATAAAAGCGTATGTTCATTACATATTTGCGCAGGAATTTTCTTTCGTTTATATTCACAACAAACGTATTGGTGTATTGTCCTTCGACGTCGATCCTGTTTGGGTATTGTTTCATCATAATCACTATTGTACCATTCCTATTGAATTCCTCTTATTCATACTATACCCATCATATTAAATGTCGTTCAACTATTGAGAAGCTCTGCAATTTTGAAACTAGTTTTTAGAATGTCTTTGAATCATCAGATTTACCTTCAACAGATATTCAGTTTGATTGAATATTCAAAAGTATTCTCTACCTAGTATGACTGACCACTCAACTAAACCGATATTTATAAAAAAAATTATCTGTTGCTTTTGCTATGAAAGGAGTGAGGCCTGTTCAAATTTCATTTATATTTGAGATCGAATTGGACAACGACTTCTAACTAACGCGCAGCTTGATTGAGTACCCCGTGTGACTGGATATTCACTGCATTGATCTATTGATTTCGTAGTGAGTAGTAAACTGGCTAGTTTGTCAGCATTCGAGAGTGATTTGAAGGAGTTTTAAGTTATTTTGATGATTTCTTTTTGTTAGGAACATAACAATGTTATCGTTCTCTTTACGCCAATATGAGCGTCTCGAAATGTTGTTAAAGTCATGTGAGAGCCAATCGACCATCATCAATTATCAATGCGAATTATAGTATACATTGTCGTAACTATAGAACAGAATAAGTCTACTAAAATCTGATTGATCAATCTATTAATTAAAGTTTCTATGAATTTTAAGTTAAGTTGTTGTTTATAATAATGATCAAAACAAGTCGAAAAGTCAAACTCCAGCATATAGTGAAGACTTAGACACTTGGTATAAAGACTAGGAATATGTAAAAAGAGTATGTTTAATACCGATCGAAATTTATTAGAGACACTTAATCATGAGAAAAAGTATTGTAATATATTATTCCTTGACGATCGATGTTCACAATTCAGATCTCAAGCTGACTCCTCTACATCACTTGATTTTCATATAGGAATTCATTTCAGATTTTTCTTAATTTCAAAACAAAATTCTTTCAATTGACTCAAATCTATGGCTCATATAAACTTAAAACGTCCTCGAAAGTGAGTTTTAAATATCGCTGATAAACTTTTTTACCTTTTAATTAATTGTATAGGCCTTCTAAACTTGGCTTTTCCATGTTGGTACTATTTGCTATCATATGGACAACTACTTTTTCGCTCATTCCATTCTATGTGTCAAAAAGCGACTTTAACATCACCAACATTCAAAAATTACTGGACACTAGTTAGTATTCACTTATTGTTTGTATTATATACACATATGTAATCTTTACTAGGAAAATCACTTACTACATTAACTATCTCATATATGTTGCCAGCTGGATTAGTAATAAAGCGTGCTACACAGTCCGTCACCAATCGTCAAACAACTGCCTCTTGCGTAATTTTTGTCTTTTATGTTAGCTCATAATGTGTATTATATTTCAGTTACAACAAGCAATTGGTGCTCCTAAAAGTTCCATTGCTGTTACCACCATCAGCAGTGCAAAAGCAACCGGTGCTAAAGGTCGACGCCGCCGTCGCCGCCGCGAGTAATTTTTTTTTTATTTAATTTCTGCGTGTCATATTCATCTATACCCTTACATATAGCATTCCATGCGACAAGACGGAACGTTCAGGTGTTGCTATCGTCTTTGATATCGCATTAGGTTATCCAAACAATTTAACATGTCAAACGCTGTCATGTCAAATAGACTTTTTTACTGGTATACATGAACAATTCAATACTCAGTCTAGTGTCAATATTACGGCGGACGATGGAAACAACTTATCTGTAGATCTTTGTTACGTTGAATCTTATTCTAATGGCAATAACAACAATCAAAATAATCCCAGTGGTGTTGTTATCGGTGAGTAGGCTGTTTTTATTATAACATATCTGGGAGTACGGATGCATCTCTATCTGAACTAGAATTTAGATTGGATAGATACCGATTCAGATCGAATTGCAAAAAAAATATGAACCTGAAATTTTATATAAGAAAAGCAACAGCTTCAGATCAGATAAGGACTTTTTTCATCATGAGTATTGAGAGAGTGTGTATAGATTTACGGACAATAGAAAGTATCCAAGTATGCTGTTACAATACTTGATTTTTTTTTTAAATTTAAATGTGATATCCGTAAACGATATGAACATCTACATTGAGTGATATGCTTATTCTAATAAAAAATCATTTGGATGAATTTTCTAAAATTGAATTCTACAAAATGTTCCTCAAGAGTCGACTTGTTACATATAGAAATTTTAGAGTTGAGAAAAATTACTCTAATGTATTTTGTTGTTTGTTTTGGAACAAATGTAATTTATATATGTAAGCCTATTCTTTTTTTCAGAGTCGTGTACAGTCGTCTGTCAAAATGGTGGTCAATGCACAGGTCTCACCACTTGTGGATGCACCACAGGATGGACTGGTGACACATGCGAAACTGGTAACTTAAAATCAGAGTTTAGTTGATTCTAATAATTTTTGTTTTTTCTTTCAGCTGTATGCACAAATGGCTGTGACAATGGTGGTACATGTACAGCACCTGATACATGCATATGCACAACTGGTTGGAGTGGTACCACGTGTACAATCGGTCAGTAAAATTTAAATCTGAAATGTTCTCCAGTCATTTATATTCTTGACGATTAAGATGTAATGATGTAAATGAAAATGTGCGACTATATTCGTTTGCGTGTAAATTTAGGAGATGAGGTGATTGCGGCGGTCTCGGTGAATCCTTTCATAACACTGTTTCCCTAACCCTTACGACATGTTTATTCTAGACAGTTTCAGGCTCGCTAGTACAGATATAGTTTACTGGACATCCTTACTCTTACAAGCTTGATCTACTAAGAAATTATTAATTGAAATAAGTGATTTAGTTTAACATCTTACTTATTTAATTATGTAAATAAGTATTTTCTATTAGAGTCTAATACATTTCCCTTGATAGAGCAGTTTTTTTCGAAAAACTGAGAGAATAACCGATAAATTATGAAAAAAATGTCGTTCAATTTTTCTATTTCATATAGAATCAACAACGTCATCAACAACAACAACGACAAAGACAACCACAAAAG